GGAGTCAAACCCTGGTCCTCTGGAACAACAGCCATTTTTCTAACCAGCAAGCCAAGCCCCCTCTCCCACGCCGACATTCGCATTTTAAATGCAAGTCATTTCCCAAGAGGCTCCAGGTCTCTTGCGATAAATCGAAGGTCTCTCTTTCCAGCTCAGCCTCTGCTCCCCAGGCTTGGTCGCTCTGGACTTCTCTCTGCAGCCCCAGTTGAGCGCTGGCGGACGGCCCTTACAGAAACCAAGCCCCCGGCTCCATCTTTCCTCTAAGAAAAGTCTTTGTGGCTCCCTGGTCCTTGGCCGTGGGTGTGATGTCGAGGTACAGAGCTGTGGCTCTGCCTATTGCCTTCCCCATCAAACAGGGTTAGGGATGATCCCTGCCTCACAGGGTAGTAACAGCATTTGTACGTGGAAAGCACTCTGAAGAGCGCTTGGCACAGGTCTCTGCTTAAGCATGCCATAATGACAGACTGATGATAGTGATCAAAATTGGGAAAATGCAATGACCTGAGAGATACAATTCTTGTGATTGTGTGCTCAGTTATACGAGATGATGCCAGATCGTCACATCTGTTTATTTGTTTCGGGGAAGGGGGTGCATTGAAAAGAAGAGGGGCTGGGGACACGGCTGGGTGGTTAAGGTTCTGGCCATGCAAGTGTGAGGATGGCAGTTCTGGTGCCCAGAGCCCACATCAGTTATGGAGTGGGCGTGGAAGCCTGGCCAAGGAGCCTCTGTCCTGCCATCCCTGCAGCTAACTCTCACCTCCTTTGAGCTTCTCCTTAAAGTTGGGGTTCCGCTCTAGCCTGCCTGCCTGTCGCTTCAGTCTGGCCTCTGAAGACGCCTAAGAGGTTGCTCACGGGAATGAAGTTCCACACTGTCAGAGAGGAAATCCACTGTGTTCCCTGCGCCTGGCTGTTCCCCGTTTACAGAAGGCTCCTTCCTCAGAGGCCTCCTCAGAGTCCCTGCCTTCATTTCTTGTAAGCCTTTTCCCATCAGGCACATTTTCAGGGGGAGTCTGGTTTAAACTGGGGTTGAGAGCCAGCCAGTTGTGGGAACTATAGTGACTTGTTATATAGTTGCTTGGAAATCACTTGCCAATTAACACACCCTTCTGGCATGTATAGTTGGTTTTGAAAAAAAAAAAAAAAGAAAGAAAGAAAGAAAGAAACAGGTTGTCTGAGAAGACCCTGTTGGTGGGTGGTTCGTTCTGTGAGCTCTACATCTGCTTCATTGTAACTCAAGGGGTAGAAGTCTAGACAGCCCTGTAACCGCCATGCTCTCTCTCTGCTGGCAGCTGTTCCGGGTCATCACACCACCCCTCCCACTGAGCTTCCCATCCTAGGTAAACAGTGTGTCCAGCACGGAGGCTGATGGATGAGGGTGCATGTGTGACCTTAGAAACCTGCCCTGAGGGTGAGCACCAATGCCTTCTCACAGACAAGTGTTTCCAGGAGCTCCTGGGAGCTCTTCATCATCTCCCATCTTACCTTTGTGGAAGGCTGGAAACAGGTTGAAACCAGACACACAGCCTAATATCCTCATCCATTCCCATCCCTCTTCTGCTTTCTAGCTGGAGTTCTGTAGGATTTATCCCCGTACCTGGATGCTTCCAGTGACGTCTTCTATGCGGTAAATTCGCAGAGAGTGGGAGATGTCTTTTCCAATACTCACAATAAGAGTGGCATCGAGATATATAGCCGCACGGACACCTTTAAGGACCCCCTTTCATCCCTACTTCGCAGTCTTATTTTCTTTCTCAGAAGTGACACCTACCTGCCTCTTTTATTCATGGACACTGAGGACATTATCTCCATGCACTCTGCTTTGCAATCATCTGGAGCGGGTGGGAGGACCTATCCCGTTTTCTTCACCATGGGACTGTGCTACTTTGCTTAGTGACGCCCATGAAGGGTTTGACCACTAGTTCTTGGCTCTCCAGGAAGGCTTTGTGTTAGAAGGTATGTGAGTTACATTTCTGGTGTGACAATCGTCTTGATAAAAGTGCAGTGTAACAGAGAAAGGTTTGTTCTGGCTTATGGTTTGAGAGTAGAGTACAGCTGGGGGGTGGGGGTTGGGGGGG